AACAGCTTTCTTATGGAGGGGGGGGGGGGGGGGCTAGTCACAAATATAGGGGGGGGGGCGCAAAGTCTGCCCCATACATTGACATAATACGAGGGGTGGGAGGTCTCCCCTATATAGTCACGGGGAACTCTGCGCACGTCTACTATGCGTTCTATAGCGTTTACTTCTATCTATATTTACCAAATTTAGGCGATGTAATCGAAGGATCGGATCGCTTTTTTTCGGTGGCCTGCGTTTATCACGTGACCGGTTGCCTTATTGTGGAACGTTAAAATTCGCACCAAAGAAAAATAAAAGCTGTAATTCAGTGGTCGAGCCATTCATCCTGACCATCCAGTACTTTAGACACTTGGTCGAGGTGATCAACCCGATGGAGCGAATTTATTTTTCTATCCTGCGCGAAATTTATATGAAAGGGGTAGGCCTAAGAGCGCACGACGAAAGAAGGGAAAAATTAAAAGAGGACGAACAATTAACGTGACATATGAAGCGTTGTTCATAATGTCAAACCATCTCAGTTTTCTAAAGTGATGGTATTTGGCCTTATATGCCGCTCAGTAGGCAGCTTCAGTGCCCCCCCCCCCCCCCCCGGCACCCTTTTTTTTTGAATTTTTGTTTTTGCCATGACAGCGCCAAATGTCCATTTGCCTGCCAGCCTTGAGATCAGGGAGGTGTTCCTCCCACCCGAAAAAAAAAAAAAATCGCCCCTGGAATAGGGCACCGCAAAGCCTTGCATTATATATATTTTTGTCACTACTGCAGTGTAACAATAAAGTTCTCCATACCATACCATACTACTGCAGTGTATGCGTCATATAAATCCTCTAGAGTACTAGCTCGTTAAGTGACAAAAATGCGTAGTAGGGTTCATTGCACAAGTACGCTATTTCAGTCAATAGGGAGATTTAGAATATCGCACCGCGAGCCCTTGCGGTGCGGTCGCTGCAACTGCGCATGCGTCGTAACACGAGTCGCTGTTCGCGGCCCGCGAGACCCGCAGAGTGCTGTGTGTAGCTTCCGTGCATTTGCGTTTGCGGTCGGGGCGAAAGTTCCTAGACTTTTCCCTAGGGAGAGCAAACGCTATTCCAAATCTCGTATGGCGCCCGCTATGCCCGCAGCGCCAGCAAACGTTATTCTAAAACTCCCTATTATAACGTGAGGATAATGCGTATCAGGCGTGCGCACTACGCAAAGCATTGCGTACCCTATTGTTCAAATGGGAGGAGACGTGGTGCCCGGATCCCTTTGTCCCAGAGTCCTACTTAACTCGTTAACCCGTAGTCATCCATACGTCTGTCCCGGCACGACCTTCCCAGGGTTGTGAGAGAGGGAAGATTGCTAGCGTTCCACAAATGGGTTTCATACACCGAGCGCGTACGCACGACGCATGCGCAGATGCGAAGAATGCTGAGGGAAAGCTTGTGTGCCATATGTATTCTAAAGCGGTGTAGCGAACTTTGCGTTGTTTGCTTGCTCCGACGTTTGAAGCGACCGTAAGTAAATCCTGGCGTACAGGTGCGCAGCCGGCGCACACTACTCCGATGACTCAATCGGCTGTCACCAGACCGCTGCGCGGTGGCCACGTGGGCGCTCGCTTTCAAGTCTCGCGGTATCCACGCACCGAGGCACGTGGAAATGTTGTGCACAGAAGGGCTCGCCACTCGTGACGTAAGAGGTCCTCAATACCGACCCCGCGTAGCTTATTTATCAGTGGGCGTCCTGCCCACTGATAAATCTCGCCCGATGTGCGTGCCCAATGGGCACGCTCGCCGGTGATAACGCGAGAGTGGCTGGCCGCTGCCGCGTTTGGGCATTTGTGTTCCGCGCGAGCGTGCAGTACAGTGGAGAATAAAATAAAGCTAGCTAAACTTGCACTGATCCGCATGAGATTTTTAACAGTAAAACTGGACAATTCTGAAGACTTAGTCAGGTTGCTTCTAGGTTGTTGCAGGGCTTTAGCTGGGTGATTCTGGGTTCTAGGTTGCTTTCACAGTGATTGGTCAGCACAGGGAGGTTCAACTTGAACCACACACACACTCGCAGACACAGCACGTTGTCGTTGGCGAAGGCCTCGCGTTGCTCCGGCGGTCTTCTTGCGGCCGCCGTCACCTTTCCCGTTCCCGAGCATTCCTTCGTTGTACGTACTCGGGATATTCGGCTTGCAGCCGTTGCTTCACAGCCACTTGTTCGGATAACTGTTGCATCTTTCCTTCTCGGCGGAAGTACAGCCCAATGCAGGGTAGCAAACCGAGCGTGTGTCTGGTTAACCTCCCTGGCTTTCCTTGCATATTTATTTCTCTCTCTGTGGAACTTACCCATTTACGATGCTTGTTGTTTACTGCTTTTTTTCTGTGATTGACCCAGTAGGAATGATTTGCAAACAGCGTCGCTGTTAAAAAGAAAAAAAAAGGGGGGGGGGGCAGCTATGCGCTAGAGGAAGCAACTGAGCTGGTGGCATTGATCTCCTCCTTTTCCTCCTCCTCACACTTACTTACCTTTTCCACATTTTGCTATATTATAAAAGACTGTGCTGTGTATTATGCATTATCCTCTCACATCTGCCTTTCCCTCCTCATCATCGCTTCCCTTTCCCACCCCTCACTCTATGCTATGTGGCACAAAAAAAAAAAAACACGACAGTTGGCCCTGAAATTTACTCTCATTATGCATCGCATAGTTTTCTTTTTCTTTGTTAAAAATTGACCTTGAGAAATATTCTTCATGCAAAAAACAGATTTTTCTGTGTAACACCCAACCTGCATTGTGAAATGCATTTGAAGATTTCAATAAATAAAAAAACTAGGGTGGCTCATATGAACAGATTGCAACAGCTTGATTCTGTTGAGCTTCTCTCCCAAATGGAACAAACACAATTAATATTGGTAATAAGTATTTCTGGGGTTTTGTGTGCCAAAACTACAATACGATTATAGGACCCACTGTAGCGGAGGGCTCCTGAAATTTTTGCCATCTGGGTGTGTTTACGTTTACGGACATCATACGACACACACATCTCACAATACATGGGCCCCCTAGCACTTTGCCTCCATCAAAATTAATTTAGATAATTTGAGCAGTTTCTAGCATGACCAATTCTGAAATTCAAATGTCTCTAAGGAAGAAAATAAAATTGGTAAAGCTTGCATTGTGCCGTGCAATTCTTGAAACAGGGAAACTGGATAATTTTCTGGAAATTAACCTGGTCGCTTATAGGTTCTTTCTAGGTTGCTTCTACGTCATTGCTAGGTTTTCTTTTTTTTTTTTTTTCAGATTGATTCTAAGTGCATATAGGTTCAAGTTCGACCGCAAACAGTCGGGCATTTCGCAGGCACATTGTCATCGGCGTAGGCCTTCCGTCACCTCGAGGCCTCTTCGCAGGCGCCATTGGCTTTCCTGTTCCCTAGGCTCGTATCCACAAACCAATCTTGGCCTTGCCTCATGTTTTCCTCAAGTACCTGTGCTCTCTCTCTACGTACATTACAAGGGCACAGAAATGGTAATGAGGTAAAAATAACAACAATATTAGTTCCTGTATTCTGGCCCACCTTGTTCATCAAGCGCAATGAAGGCTTGAAAACGACAAAGAAAACTCGGGGTAAGGTTGAGGTTGGTTTGTTCATACCGGCCCCAGTATTCTCTCGTGTGTGCTTGGGGTCCCCGGCTCCGCCGTTGTTGTTTCCCAGCCATTTGATGGGTTAGCCGTCGGCCTTCTTCATGTTAGTCGACCAGTGCTGAATCCCGGGATTTAACCTATTTCTGTGGCACTTACCTGTTTATGATGACAGTTTTCTGGTAGGCTGCCGCACAGTGGCACATGCCAGCTGACTTTTTTATGCAACTGACTCGCAAGGAACAATTTGCTAAACAACCTTGCTGTTAAATGAAAAAGAGAAAAGTTAGAGCTGTGGGCATCGTGCCAGACAGTCCTCTTTAAGCAAGAGAAACAACTTATCACAGTTGTCTGGTCTAGTCTTTCCCTGCAAGGTTATTTTGGAATTCCCGGAGGATAGCGCAATATTCCTTCTGCCCGTCCCATTGTGTTCGTCTCGAGAGCCACGCCGTGCTGTCCTGCACCTCTCAATCTTGGAAGTTTTATCGCGGGCTAGCTCCAGGAGTTGACAATGGGCGCAGATGGGCACAACTGGCGTGAACTCAATTCGCTGCCTCTGCGAGCGGCTGTTGAGTGGGTGCCGCTCTTGCAGCCTCTTTGGCCAAGGTTCTGTGGTGCTGTGCGCTTTTGCGACGTTGGATTTCCCTACGTGGCATGGGCGTGTCTTTGAAAGCTGTCTGTCAACGCTATCCATAATACTACAGCTTTAATTGTGCATTACCATCTCTGTTAGTAACTGATTCGATCTGAATTACCGAATGCCAAATTATCAAAGTATCAAAAAGGTAATAAATAAATGTACTATACACCAATTCACTTTCATTTTGTTGTGGAATATGTGGAATTGCATAAGAGCAGTGGGAAAGCGACAATTGTCATTTGCGACTTCTTTCGTAATGTGAATGCTGCTCAACAACCTCGTCTCTAAATTCTAAACATGCTCTGAACCCATGTCTTATTACGTACTAACAACACGATTGTGGATGGTGACTGTTACATCATGCTCAATAACTATCGCAGCCTAAATCGAGGCATCACTGTTAATTCCATCTTCTTTCTCCTCTGCGGCGGCCACCTATAGTGTAGGCCATCGCATGGTGCCGTAGCTGTTAGAGACGCCCTATATAACAGTGGCCTTGCTTCTCTGAAAACGACCTTTGCGGACTTATCAGCAAGACATCGTTTTCGTTTCTTTGTCACATATTTGTGGTTCTTCGCGTTTGGCGTGTTCCAAGGATCACCCAAATTAACAGAGTCGTTTAACTATACTCCACTTGCGTTTCACGTGTTGCACGAAATAGTAAAGGAGTTGAAATCAAAATTACTTCCACTGCTTCATTGCTTGACCTTTTCCATCTTTGGTCTCTCTTTTTTTTGGGGGGGTGGACAGAAAAATGAAGCTCCACAAAAAGAAAGCCCTTCCACCCCTGGAGGTGCCACTGCCCGGCGTGTCCATCATCAAACCACTGACGGGAGTGGATCCAAACCTCTTCAGCAACCTCGAGTCATTCTTCACTATGAATTATCCACAGGTGAGCTTGATGCTTTGTGTTTACAACTTACGACATAACCAGCCTGCCGCTGAGGCATGCATCCACGTTGCTTGCAGAACCCAACAGCTTGTCGCGAATCACGATGGGCTCTTGACAGACTTTGCCAATTTTTGCATAGATAAACTTGAGATGGTAGATAGTGATATACTTAGCGAAATGAAAAATACAAGATTACGATGTAGCAGCGAAGAAAGCAAGCCACAGTGTTAGTGGTATTCATGTGACCCGAACTAGCATTTGCCTGAATTTGGGCACCTGGACATTGCTCATTGTTCCTTTACGCTTATGCATGAATAAATCTTGTGACAATATAAATTTCATAAGGCCTGATTGGTGTTGCATTGGTGCAGCAGCGTCACTGTGCCTATATGGCTGTTTGTCTTCGCGGACTGCCATGCTTGCTGTCTGACATTCGGGGAAGACCAATGTGGAAGGCGTGATATGTTCGGCAACGATTAGAAGCAGGGACATGTGGTCTTGGGCTGTGTGCAAACAGCGGGCAAAGATAGCGAGATAGCAGGAGGGGTTGGGAAGAGGGGGTAGGCGTTGTCAGCATTGTGGGACGAGATAGTCGCGGCCTGCTACCATTGGCATCTTCTTTGCGTGTCCTTTGGCCCGACTTCTTCTGTGTTGGTTTCGTTTCTGTGAGTAGTCGAGCACTCCGCCCACTGTCGAGGAGCCCTGCGCCAAAAGAGCATTTGGCCGATTTTCTGGGCCAGCCTGCTCGTGCTGGTTTGACCAGTTTTTTTTCTTCGTTAGTCGGCACAAGGGTGAATCCTTCGTTTAACCCCAAAGCATGTTTCAGCTGGCGTCGCTGCATAAATATAAAAAGTGAAAAATGAACAATTCTTTGCTTGGTCACGTACATAGAAACCTTTCCATCCATGTGGGCACCTCGCGCCTGCCTCCTCCACTCCTGTCTATGTTCTCCATATTGTGTTTACATGAATGCAGTTTTCACTCCAGAAGTGCACATGGTTTGCAGTTTGCTTCAAATTTTAAGACGCAAGCTTATATTGTGCCAGAAACTCTTGGGAAAGTCTAGCACGTGTCACATGCCAGTTTATCGCAATCTCGCCTCGTAAAGTATAGTGCTTTAAAAAACGCCGTGCTAGACTACATTTCCTTTAGGTTCAATCCATATTTTTCGTCAGATTAATGCCTACAAAGTAGTTATGGTCTGATTATGATATTATCAAATTAAAAAAAAAGAAAAGCAAAACATTCATTGTGCATTGCATGAAGGAACAATGTGCTGCAATGTGTTGTGCTAAAAGAGACAAATATTATATTTGAAAACACAGTAGAGGATTGTAAGCGTTTTTTGAGTGGCGGTTCCTACTCAACTGTTGCCGCGGAGGTTCGATAACATGCGTTATCTTTAAGAGAAATAAATGCCTTCTGTGCAAGCTACATTAGCTTGTGCTTAGCATAACAATAAAGAAGGCAGGGTTGAGTGTTTGCTGCAGAAATATTGTATTTGTGGTAGTGGTCAATACACTTAAGCCTTTTGACATGCTGTGTGCTTAATTGAGTACATTGGTTGTATTTGTGATTTGTATCAACTGGGGCCTAAGAATAAGCAAGATAGATTGAGTGTTGGATGAAATGAACCTCTTGCTTAATGAATTGATCTTCATTCAACTTCATTTAGCAGAGTACCATTGTATATGATCAGGTTAATAAAGGCACTGCGCTGTTAGACGAGCCATTTGGTATGCCACTTCTTGAGACGGACATCAAAGGTATAAGCTTTCTTTGCTCACTGTGGACAAAACGAATTTGCAACATATTTCTAGCGTGAGATTTCATTCGATTTATGCAAAAACAGAGTGTGAATGGCTTCAGAAGTAGGCTTGTGCGAATAGGGAATTTCAGGTTCAAAGTGAATAGTGATATTGCTTTAATAATTTTGAATCGAATTTGCACAGTGTATGCATCATTATTATGAAGAAAGAGGGACAAATTTGTCGTGACTTAACTAACCTGCGCAATATCTTTGGAAAACTCATAAAAGGCCTTTCTTTTTTGCATCAAAGGAAGTGGAAACAACTTTCAATAGCAGCAGGATTTGACTTTCAGTAGAATGCAAGTGATAGCCTGTATAATATATTGCGGTTCAAGATTTGGTATACTTAGAGCATATAAGTTGGTTTAACAAGCTTTTGATAAAAATGAATTGATGTGGGAGTAATATCTTCATATAACCTTGAAGAGGGTCTTAGCAGCAGTGCGGATTTCTCTTGATTGTATGTTTTCATGGCTTAGCACTGCCTCACAACAGTGACGCCACTTATACTAAAAGTTTCATGTCAACTAATGTATGCTTAGATAGGTGTTCTCACGGTTTAGCACCCTTTTACTACAGTGAAACCATTCGTTCATGTCTCGAATAATGAGCATTCTTCAATAATTTAAATTAGATTCCAAGTGAATTAGAATACTGCAGTATTCATTCAAATATTCGAAGGATTCAAATATTTGCCGAAGCCTATTCAAAAGAAATAATATTTAATTACAAAATAATAAGGAATAAATACCACATAACATATAAATTAACATATTGTGACATTATTTCTGTTGCAATACAATATTGAGTGTCTTGAAATAACATTGTATCAATTTGACACGTTGCGGACACTTTTTCACAGGTGGTGCATAAGGCGTTTAAATTTGAGGCTGTTGACAGAGATGCGTTTCGGGACAGACAAATAGATGATTCTGTTTCAGCAATGTCCAGATAACCAGCGTGGCGGCCCAGATAAGTGGTGCAACTTGTTCAGCAACGAGCCTCGTAAAGTAGCAGGACACTTCATTTGGATTGTTTAAAATGATATGGCTTGTTTGTATTGAAGGCACGCTTTTCACAGCGCAGCATTCTGCCAAAGGAAATAGGCTAGTCTGCAGTTATCGCTGTGCTATTGCACACTGGGTGCAATTCCTGACTGAAGCTATGCTGCAGAGGTGTAGTCAGAAATTTGGGGGTGAAGCGTTCAAACACCTCCTATGTATGTTTGTGTGTGTTATGTGTACGCGCAGAATTTGCTTGTTCTTTTTAAAAAGGTAAAATCAAAACCACCCACCCACCCCCTTTCCCTCCAGGCTCTGACAATGCTATGTTGATTTCACTGCTCAAATGTGTAGGAATGTGCTAGTGCACCAATTGCAAGTAATCATTTGCAAAGCGATGGGATGATACAGTTTATAGCGGAAATTATCATTGAATGACTGCTCTCGTCTGTGCTATTCACTGGGATGCACTGTATTGGCATCATTACATTTAGTTTTGTAATAAACCCCAAGCGATATGCAAAAGTACCTTGTGTTATGTGATGGCCATGGCTGCTGCATATGCCGAAATTTGAAGCCTGCATAGAATGTTGGTTTCAATGCTGGCTGCTTGCAACAACCTCCATGGCAACGTAACTTTGAGTGGCTTGTCTTTTTGTTGTTAAAAATTTAGCCCGCGAATAGAAATAAAACAGAACGGTAGAGGATGAAACTCTGCATTATTTGCTTTATGTTCATAACTCACGGAACATACCACAGAACGGTAGAGGATGTAAACTCTGCATATTAATTTGCTTTATTTCAATAACTCACGGGAACATACCACAGAAACTAAATACATGAATCGACTTGCCGTCAAAATGAGATTGTTCACAAAAAAAAATGCACCTTTACTGTAGGGCTAGCATGTTGTGACACCTCATGCAAGGCACATGACATATGAGTGGATGTTTACATGAAATGCGTGTGTCTGTATGCATGTGTATGTTAATGTGTGCCCTCCAAAGAAAAAGTCAATTCATGTGAAATGCATATGTGTTATGCTCACTGTGATTCCAACTTTTCAACATGAATTGATGCCTGTTTATTCCATTCACACTTATCGGCTGGCTAATTTCTAAGTAGGATTTGTGTCATTTTAAACACCGAATGTTAGCGCTGTGCAATTAGGCAAGCGCAAGCCGTTCTGTGTCATTAAAGGATGAATTGAAAAACAAAAACAAAAAAACAAAAGCAATTCAGTCAAGCTATACTCATAGGAAACTTCCCTTCATTAGCAAACTCAAGATGGAAGGATTAGAGCAACGCAACCTTGAAATTCTGACTTCAGGTTGTCAGGATGGGAATTCTTAAATTGTCAGCCTGTGCCCATTTGATATTATGCTGACAAAAAAAGAAAAAAAAAACATCCACTGAACTTTAAATGATCCAGACATGAAAATCAGTAAACATGAGCAATGCTGTAATGACCCAAACATCTGATTACACCAAAATCTGCTGCGGCACACTGGCATTTCTTTGCTGTCTGGGTATTGGTGCAGAATTGGTGCTCGGCTTCTTTTTCTGCCAACATTTAACCCATTATCATGAAGTGAACATGAAAGTTCGAAAAACTGCTGTTTCAGTTGAACATTCTGTACATTTTCCTTTGAGAGACCATTTAATGGCTTCAGAAGATCCCACAATGATAGATGCCCGATGATGTGAAAAGTTGTGTAATGAAGATTATCTCTGAAGCCAATATTTCAACAAGGGGACTTGTCTAGCAGCTTCTGCCCCATCTGAGGATGAGCTTCTTGTTAAAATGTCGACTCCAGTGACATTCCCTGTTTATCAACTCGTCATTCCTTTGATGGCTCAAGCCGCCATAGTGATAAGAGCTGTGCTGTTGCTCTGGTATACCTAAAGGCATATTTTTCATTTCCGACCCTTGGTGACTGTATATCAATGCAGAAGCATCCATGTACTTTGATTTAGGTGCCTGTTTAACAAACCCAGGCATTCAAAACTGAGTAAACGACATTGAGCTGATTGGTTACACGTGGTCATATCATGCAATTGATGAGGTTAATGTCCCAAAGCCATAATATCACTATTAAGGACGCCGCACTGAAGGGCTCTGGAAATTTCAACTACCTGGTGTTTTGCACTGCCCATCTAAATCTAAGCACACAGGCCTCTAGCATTTT